CAACCCAATCATAATGAGACACTGAATGCGGCACCAATCACACAACAGTCCCTTATATATACTACGAGTGATTGTCACTGGAGGGATGCCCACCCCTTCTGGAGTCTATCTACTTACCACCTGGTATTACGAGCATGAGATGTTGAAATACAGAAAATTTGAGGTTTTTATATCACTCCTATTTCCGGACTTTTTTTTAAAAAAAACATTCCCGGTACGTGTAGGGATTATTTTCTCCTCCCAAAATCTGAAATTTTGTCTGATTGACTCATGCATCAGGTGTTAAAACTTAAAACCGCTAACATTGTCATAAACACATTTATGAATTGCCTGGAATAACAAATACATAAAAGTATAGACAATACTGTTACAACAGATGACTGACAAGTGAATAAATCTTATTTTTTTTCAATGTTAAACACTGCAATTACATAACTTATGTGTATGATACATTTTCATGTACAAAGTTTGGGATTAAAAAAGGTAACTTAGCACATTGATCCATGTAAGTCCAACATAAAAACCTTGGTGTACCTTCTTTGTTTCTGACAATTACTATTGGAGATAACCAAGCATTCTCCTACAGTTGTGTGACTTCATCTTACAGCACCCACTGTATTTCAGTACTTGCAACCTCCCTGTGTTTTAATGAAGCTAGCATGGTGGTTGCATTATCAGACATGCATTACCTGTGTTTATATGATGCTGAGTACCATAGAGTGACCGAATTAGTTATCTAATCTCACAAGTACATTGGTGTAGTCAATGAATAAGTTATTATGCTGCTTTCAGTGTGTTGGATCTAAATTGTTAGCACAAATACTCAACTAATGACCTGAGATATGTTGGAAGACCATAGTGTGACTGATGCAACTCTAGCATTACTACTTGTTTCAGACACATCTACTTCACTTACCACGTCTACAGCCATTCCAACAGCTAGCTGAACAGCCAAATGCCTATAAGTAGAAAGCAACACTAGGACTTCATCCCTTATTGGACAAATAAATGCACAAACTAATGCTACCTGCTTTCTGGACAGAAAACAGCTTATTTCATGTGTGGCTTCCATAATTGCATTATTCATTAATTGCATTAAAATTCGTCTAAATTTACCCACAGAATACCGTTTGTATATATATATATATGGAGGTATTATTATTCTATCTGCTACATAAATTCGTGCAGTCCAGTGTTCCTGGACTCAATCTGGTCAGAATTGGATGACTTTTTTATGGAACATAAACCCACCCATTGTATGGTTAAAACTTTGCAGAATATCCATCATGAGAATTATGCTTCTATGGGAAACACCTCCTGGACAGAGCCAGAGATCTGCTTCTCCTCTAACATCTAGTCTATCGCCATTTACTAAAACAAAGTTGATATCCACTGGCTATGGCAGTGGTCTTGCTCAGAGGGCTTGAAATATTGTAAGGTCCATTAGGATTCTTGCCACTCCTATGTCAACTAGGAACTCATTCTCTTTTACCCTCACAGGCATATGCCAAACACCACCCCACCCTGTAAGAGCTTGAATGACTACTGAACCCTTCAGTGCAACCTGTGCTCTGTGCCCCCATAAAGCTAGTGGTCAAACCCAAATTGGTCTCCGTTGTTCTATGGAGCATTTGTGACAGCATCTACAGTTTTTGTTGGTTATTCTAGACTTGTTGATCTGATGGCCAGTACTGATGACCTTGCCTATTTTGCTTCAAAGAAAAGTATCGACATTGTGGATTGGCTGGCATCTGATAAGCTGTTAGCTGAAACTTATAGCTCTGCCATCTTTGCTGATCAGCAAGATGCAGACAGTTCTTTCACCAGTGCCTCATCAGTCCACAAGTGAAGCTTATACTATGCTCTTCCCGTCCTGAGCGATGTTCATTAGAAGGCATTGGCATTTGCAGCAGTATTTACCACATGGGCAGACCTTGTGGCAGCATGTACCCCATAGACAGACCTGCAAAACCCTCCTCAGTCACTGGAAACCAGTGTGACTGCATTACAGTGCTGAAATGTATGTGTAGCTGGTTAACCCTGAGTCTGAATCTAGCCTGGTACATGAATGTACTTGATTAGTTTGATACATCTGAAGAGTAGCCACAACAGCTATCTTTACCACCTCATACTGTGCAACTATGAAAACTACTTTGGTTAGGGTGAAGACATCTCTCACACCCAAGTGTTGCCACGTGGTTCAATAGGTGTTCCCTCAGTGATCTTATTGAACATAATATCATTCATATCCACAAATGCCATTGTTGTCACAGATCATCTATGTAGATGGTCAGTCTTTCAGAACTTGGTTTAATAAATTGCATGATTCGTCACTGGATTGACTCAAAGACAAATCTTGTACACAGCAATCTTTCAGCCTTCCTACTGCTTCTCACAAATAACTTCAAGTGTTGGAATATCATAGCTCAGGATCAATCATTGTACAGTCTGTTCCCAAATCCATCCACTCCAGACAATTACATGCCTGAAATGCATATGAATATATGTGTGATCTCTTAGAGTTTGTTCACAGATACTCCAGCAGCTGGTCAGACCCTCTCCTTATGAGATCCCAACTATTACCAGGTGGAGGTTGTACTGATGTCATCAGTCCCTAATTCAAAGTGAAAACGTGACAGCCCTGACTCAAGTTGCCATAGGTCACTGTAGAGATTTTGGGGAACCTTTCAGTCTTGAAAGGCAAATCACTATATAGTTCATGGTGGGTTCACAGTGTCTCACCTGCCAGGGTGAAACTTTAACTGACAGAGATCATCCACCACTGACACATCCAGCCTTTCTCCATTGTTCACAAATGGCTTGGACCAGAGGAGGGACAGGGTGTTCTGTCTGGGTAGCCTGGGGTTCCTGTAGAGACCTCCCCATGTAATTACGGACTCGCCAGGTGCCATTCCACTTCAACAAACCCGAGTCTTTCATACAACTTTTACACTGAAGTTTATTCTTAGGGGTACTGTATGCTCTAGTGATCCAAGTGGTCCAGACATGAGTAAATACACCCGAGTCTACAGTTTCAGGCTAACTGATATCATGAACACCTTTGCATCAAGGGCAAAAGTTTTGTATTCTAGAGAGAGCTGTTCCTAGACTCGACACCCCTTTCCTGCAACTATTGCTCTCCAGCAATGAACTTTTTCTGGCTGTCATAAGTACTTCTATGTTCCATAAAACTTTAAACAACTCATGAAATCGAGTTAGGTCTAGTACACACTTAACAAAACTGGAACTCCCAATAAATCCTGTTCTAACAGCACCAAAATTTCTCCTTTCTACCAATATGTTCACTTAATAACAGTGGCGTAAACTAAGATTAAATGTAGTAAATTTAGGAGTAATCTGAATCTGGAACTTGACTGAGTTTTACTCTTGTGTGAAGAATAAAAATGTATTAGTTCAAAAAACTGAACACAAGTCACATTAGACAAAAAGTGCATACTTGCATAAACAATGGAATACTCAATTCTCAGGACCACCGAGTAGATTGTCAGCATGCCAACTGCCAAAATGAATCCCTGGCAAATAGTTATGATGAAAACTAGGTAAACTAAGAACTAGCATTTTAATCGATTTTGGAAGAAAACTCGTACACTTTCTTTTATGAGGATTCTACCACGTGTCTGTTGCTCTCTAACAGCATTTGTCAGCTGTAACATACAGGCATCATCCGTTCGGGAAGAAAAGGACGTCGCAACTGTTGAACCTGCTAACATTTAAATGAAGTATACCACAAAATTCCCTTGGGCAGAGTACATAATATCTGCTATACAGAACAAAGTTATTAGAACAAGGCAACTTAAAGGGTTTTTCTGGACCATGTGTTTATGCCAAGATTGCATAGAAACTAAATAAACAAAAGTTTAAAATTTTTTTATTTAACTAAAAGCATGTAGAGAACATAATAGTAACTACTAATTCTTGTATTTGAATTGTACTCTTACTTCTCTATACCACACAAACATTCTAAATTATACAGAGGCCTTAACTTTCATGAATTTTCTAGATATATTGCATCATCATTACATAAGAACACGTCCCTCTAGAGAACAAATATCTCAATTAGAATATTTAAAATATATCCTGCAACAATATCTAATTTTCTTTCTATTTTCTAGGAACAGGATATTCCTTATAAATTACCCTCCACAGCAGGAATTCATCGAGGGTGGTATTTGTTATCCCTTTAAAAACTTGTATAGCTAATCAACAAGGTTGCATTATTAGGCTATTATATGATATGGATGTATAATTGAAACTATAAAATTCAACAACTGATTTACTAGTGACTAGATATAGAGAGGGTATTAAATTATAGAGCAGTTTTCACACTTTTTGTCATAAATTATTTTAAGAGAGTAGATCTCTTTTTATAGTGCTAGAACCTATTGCTGACCATGTTATATATTTTTCGTTAATTCGTTTTATTTTCAATAAACATCTAAATTTAAAAGAATTTTATTATATAGTCAGTTTTTTAATTTACTTTAGTATTAGTTCACATTTTGCTTTATTATAATAAAATCCAGTTTATTTTACATTCAGCTTAATCCCTTAAATACCATACTAATATACACACAGAAAATATCAGTTCACGAGTTCTATCCATTTATAAATTTTGACAATTCATGTGTATAGTGAAAAAATGCATAAACTAGTCCTAAAAGTATGCTATTAAACACCACAACGAAATAATAAATAATTTCCTGTAATCGTCAAGTTACATTTACAAAATAACTATTTGTAAATATGTTTGGGATTTTCCACGCAAAAAAAAAATCTGCAGTATGCCAGCAATATGTATTTAAAAATTTCCTCCTTGTAATAATACATAAAACTAACTTTTTGTTAACCTTTATTTCCAAAAATGTATATATGAAGATTCAGATACACATACGTAAGAGAAAAATAAATAATAAGATTAGACCTAACAGTTATACAATCATAAAGACTCTATGAATTGATAAAAAGATTAAAGTACCTACCATAAAGTCCAGGAAAGAGGGCATAGTAGGCAATCAAGGCCACACCGGTAGAAGCCAAACCTGCTAATGGGTTGAGAGGCTTCATACCGAATCCCCAGATGTACAAAAAATGAGCGAAAGTAAAAGAAACCATACCCCAGATGAAATAGCAAGGCCAGGTTATTAGAGCATCTCCAATACAAGAGAAAATTAATCCAGCCAGAATCTTTCTGGAATAAGCATGTTTTTCTGCTAGGCTCATTCCATGCAATAGAACAAAAACGCAGAGTGACAAAATAGGAAGGCACTTGATAAGGCAGGAAAACCAGGAAGGATTTTCATAGGGGATGGCCAAAACAAAGTAGATAGTTGCTGTCTTGAAAAATGGAACCAGTTTTGGACCTACACATTTTAGCTGGAAGAAGAAAAAAAATACTTTTAATTGGTTTCCCACACTTTTTCATTTAACTATCTCACACAAAATGTATCTTTTGACATTAAATAGTTAAGTAAAAATCATACCTCAAATAAATTAGCCTTTAATTGCGATCGATTTTATTGCACATAATTGTTCAAGTTCTTCACATTTGCAATCAGTGTAATAATCCATAACTGGTGACCTTCATGACCTAGTATATAAGTAAATAAAAATTATATAAAATTGCATGCAACACCTCTTTTAGGATTTTGAGGGGCTTTGTGGCAGCATTATACCTGAATTTAATATCTATTAAAATAGATATGTCTCCAATAGCTCACAAATCCCTGCAACAATAAAGGTTCTAATCTCGTCACTCACAATTTTAGTGTTATTGCAATTTCATGTGTTTATGTTAAAATGCGTGCTAAAGTAAAAGAAGAAACCAGCAGTAGTGGCAACTGCAGCTGCATAGTCAAAATAAAGACAACTTGAATGATGTGTAATTACCTCTAAGACTCAGAAAAATCGTCAGCCATAACCCCTATGGAGCAGATACAACACCCATGGTTTCCTGGTACGACAGGATTTCCCTTCTCCAGTTGCCATAGCTATGCCACAGAATCAACTGTAGTTGGATTTCTAAAGGTGCCACAAGTGTAAGGAAGTGACAGATCATCACTTCAACTGTGGCTTACTTAGTCAATGGTTTCACGAATGTTAATATTCTGTCACTAGATAGGACCACCAGACATAAGTACCATTCAGACCAATGCCACAATATATATAGGAAAGTTGATGATGTAACTCCTTCAACTAACTCAAGATAGCAGGTCCTGAATTGAATCTGGCAATCAACATAGGTAAGGGCAAAAGGTAGCACACGTATGTCAATTGTGGCTGGTTTAGAGAACCTTGTACTGGGTATTATGGTATGTTCCAATAACAATACATGGGCATGAGGTTGAGTTTTTAAAGAATATTTGAACATTCAGAATCTTATACATTCTTACCATATATCACGTTTTCGGTGGAAATCCAACATATTGGCAAGTTAGTTTAAACTTCATTCTGATGAATGGTAACAAGCTATACTTGAGCAGAAAGCGCATCATCAGCTGTTACAAGTAGTTGTTATTGATCTGGGTTCAAGCATTGGTCTGAGTGAATAGAATGTTGTACCAGTGTTAGTCTATAACTAAGGGCATTTGGCTATTCATCGTCTAGCGAGAATGGTCATTTGTATGATAACAGATGCATAAGTTACATAAACTAGCTGAATAGCTAATGTCACAACTACCTTATCGTGTCTGAGAAGGAGCATGAAACTTTCAAAGCATATGATATATTTAGTTGAGAACTGTACAAACAACTCGAACTCAACTCAAAACACGAAATTTGCTGATGCGTTCATGGGACTACATAGCTGACTAGATTGGACAACGATCACATAGACAAATTTAACGTGCTTCTCATAACAAAATCACTGTACAGATTTCCTTGGAGCAGCAGGTATTTATATCCAGCACTGAAATGTATCTGTTTAATGCACCTGCCACTTTTGAGAGGCTGGTGTATCTTACATTTAAGGTGCTGCAATGGAAGAGATACCTCAACCATAAGGAAGACATACTTATCTTTGGTTGCACTTTCAAGCAGCAGCTGAGAACCCACAAATAATATAAAAAAATTCAACAGTAAATGGGTAAAGTGTCCATGCTCCGAAAGAGATGTTACAACAAAACAATTTATCTAGTTGAGTTGAACTTGTGCAATTGTGTAATTTGATAGACACGTAGCTAGGATAATTGAGATTGTTAGATAAAATCCTATAGAAATTAATAGTTAAACGTAACTATTAATCATGAGTGTAAGTTCTGTTAAACCAAATTACTGAAAGTAGTTTGCAATCCGTTCTTTCTGTGCAATTAGGTTAAGTTTTGAAATAAATGTTGCAGGATACTTGCTGGTTAATCTTTCTGAGCAAACTCGAGATCTTGAACATAAATCAGAGCAACTTTGTATTTAGCTGCTGAGCAAAATTGTCCCTGATAGTGTGGTTGGTATACATACAAGTCTATCTGAATTGTAGTAAGGGTATATTTACATAGACTATATAAATCAAGTGAAACATATATCAATTTTTTTTCCTTGTTACTATATGTGTTTATCTAATATAGCAATTTTTTTCGCGGTCTCTATATGACAGTACTAATTGTATAAGCATGGTGATTCAGGCTAAATGTTATGTTATGACGGTGAGAGTGATTTAACTGTACTCTGTCTTTATAGATACTACTAATTGTATAAGCATGGTGATTCATGCTAAATGATATGTTATGACGGTGAGAGTGATTTAACTGTACTCTGTCTTTATATGATACTACTAATTATTATAAGCATGGTGATTCAGGCTAAATGATATGTTATGATTTAACTATAATCACTTGTGCACCTACTGTATTGGTCTTGTTGGACTATGTGTATATGTGTGTACTTTAGAACTAACAACAAGAAATGTAACCTGTTTAGCAGGATAGACCGTTTCTGCCTATTTCTTTCCGTAATTACTCTTATTTACATGGAATTGTTTGTGAACTAAATGGCCTAATTTAGGTTAACAGTCAGAGGCGTCGCTAAGCACTGGCACACGGGACCCGCGCTTCGATTTTGACAGTCCCCGAATCCCAAGTTGGTGTCTTAAAAATCAGAATCTAAAATCATGATCGATATCATACTGAAATTTTCGCGCCTATGGTCCCGAGCCCCGAATCTTAGCGACCTCTGTCTTACTAGTGTAAGCTATTTGTTGGAATTTTTTCCTCCCTCCTCCAGTGGACCAAAACTCTGTCGTTATGAAATTAAGAGAGCGATTAAAGAACTCGTGAATAACGAATAATTTCTTATTCTGTGTTATTGTTATTTTCAACAGTTTATTGTTGTTATTTCTTATAACTTCATTAACCAAGAAGAAGAAGATCCACAACTCTAACACAATTAATCAACTGAAATATTTTTCGTATAATAGTTTCTAATTTTGTAGCATTTATTTCTTTATATTTAATTTCAGCTTTCAAAAACTTTTTATTTTCATTTTCTTTATATTGCTTCAACTTTTTTAACCTAAAGGTAGCAGTCTTAAAATTCCAGAACGTTGATATTAATTCATATGCTTTACATATATTCCAAAATTTTAACTTATCTTACAATTGTTTAACTGAAGTTTGTTTTCACATTTCCGAAATCCCTTTGGTACCTTTCTACCATATCCTTCATGGATAACACATATTATATTCGATTTTTGAAAATTTCAAAAAAAGCAGATAAATTTAAAGATTAAACATGTGACAAAACAACAACAACAACATTGTCTGATTAAAAAACCATTATATTTCAAGATGACCCAACCTGATGAAATTCACACATCTAGTTTGAAAACACTCTTAGGGTTATGATCATACCTTGTAGATGTGAGAACCCATTATAGAGTTTACCTTCATAATTAAATTTACCTTATCCCTCTTTTTCACTTTTGAATTATAATTTAGAGCGTAAGAGCAGGGTCGCTAGATGGTTCGTCCCCGGCCCACTACAAAAAATAAAGTTATATTTATCCACCCCACAACTACTACGAATGATGGCCAAATCTCGCAGTTCAATTTAGAGTAACCCAAGAAGACTTGGCGGTGTGTACTGTTAAACAGTTGCTTTCTTTTTTAGTTTATCAGTCCCATATCAGGGACGGCTAATACAGATAGACCTTGAGTAGCCAAAACCTGCTTATTTGATCCTCTTGCAAGAATAACAACGTTGTTTTTAATTAGTGAGCTGATGTTGGCGAATGAGGTACTAGTTGCGAATGGAACTGACCTTGAACGTAGCTGCTCATTGGCCAACTGGTTTTACATAGTTTTAAATTACCCTTAGTACAGTTAGTAGTCGGTATTTTCTTTTTACTTTCACGTGAAGTTACGAGTCTCAGTTAATCGTAAGGATAACTCTTGTTTAAAGTTGTTGTTGTTCTCGCACTCACCTTTAGCGTTTAAAGCTGTTGTTGTTCTCGCACTCATCTTAATCGTTTAATTAAAGCCGTTGTTGTTTTTGCATTTACCTACAGCGTTTAAAACTGTTATTGTCCTTTTACTCACCTTTAACGTTTAAATATGTTGTTCTCGCACTCACCTTTAGCGTTTAAAGTTGTTGTTGTTGTTCTCGCACTCACCTTTAGCGTTTAAAGCTGTTGTTGTTCTCGCACTCATCTTAATCATTTAATTAAAGCCGTTGTTGTTTTTGCATTTACCTTCAGCGTTTAAAATTGTTATTGCTCTTTTACTCACCTTCAGCGTTTAAATCTGTTGTTCTCGCACTCACCTTTAGCGTTTAAAGCTGTTGTTGTTCTTGCACCTACCTTTAGTGTTTAAAGTTGTTGTTTTCGCACTCACCTTTAGCGTTTAAAGCTATTATTGTTCTCGCACTCATCTTAATCATTTAATTAAAGCAGTTGTTGTTTTTGCATTTACCTTCGGCGTTTAAAACTGTTATTGTTCTTTTACTCACCTTTAGCGTTTAAATATGTTGTTCTCGCACTCACCTTTAGCGTTTAAAGCTGTTGTTGTTCTCGCACTCACCTCAAAGGTGAAATTCTCCTGGTACTCATCGGTACTGAGTATCGGAACTTCATTTTTAAGATGGTACTAGTACCGGGACTTAATTTTTAAGGTGGTACTAGTGCCGGGACTTATATGAGCTGCTTTGTCGTTTTTTATGTTTACACGTAGATTTTTTTTCAAAAGCAGGACCACTTCACCCAGCTGAGTACCTCTATTATTTGGGGGGGGGGGATTTCACTCCTGACTCACCTAAATCGTTCAAAGCTGTTGTTGTTCTTGTACTCACCTTCAGCGTTTAAAACTGTTGTTGTTCTTTAATGTAACGTGGTATTGAATTTATATTGGGGTGCGTTTTCAGTTAGTATTGCATTTTATTTTGTCTTAGTTTATCTTACATGCACTTACAAGAGCTCATATTTCTGTATTAAAGTCTTCTTCAGCCCTTGTCAGTCACACACACACACATACGATTAATTGCCCAATATTATAGTATCACTTTGTATTGTTTACTGTGTATTGTTACTTGTGCAATTTGTGAATAAATACTGTTTTGTGTGTGGATCTGTGTCTAGTCTCGTTCTTTCAGACCTATCCACAGTAACTCGTCGGGAAATATATGCCCAAGACCGAGATTCGAGAACCTCCAGTTATTAGCGAGCTAACTTCTCTGTTCTTCTGGTTGCATTATTCCTGAGATACCAAAAATTCGTTTAAAACATATTCATGAACGAGATCATCAGCTCTTGGTTGAGAAACGGCCAGCACAATGGTGCTGATGTGCAATCATAAATTGTTTTTTTTATGCCGAAATTATAATAGTTTTGTTGACAGCACTTTTAAGATTAGTAGTGGCCCGGCATGGCCAGGTGGTTTGGGCGCTCGACTCGCAATCTGCAATTCGCGGGTTCGAATCCCCGTCCCACCAAACATGCTTGCCCTTTCAGCCGTGGGGGCGTTATAATGTGACGGTCAATCCCACTATTCGTTGATAAAAGAGTAGCCCAAGACTAGCTGCCTTCCCTCTAGTTTTACACTGCTAAATTAGAGACGGCTAGCGCAGATAGCCCTCGTGTAGCTCTGCACGAAATTCAAAACAAACATTATTAATGTATAGATCACATACCTAATATGTAAATGTTATGCTGTATATGTAGTTAAAGCTAAACGCTGACTTCAGATTCAATTGTCTTGTAAATTTGTATAAATGAATTAAAACATGCCACTACCGCCAAAACGGCATTGTATATAATCAAGTTATTATAAACACTTAAACTAGCAACGACTTGGGTCTTGAAAATAAAGTTTTTATTTAATATATTATTATGACCTGACTTACCACAGCCTTGGGACTTGTCCAACAGTCGGTAACTTCAACTAACTGTTCCTTCATTTTAGTTTAGTAATAGGCTTTCCAATTGATTAACTACTCTTTTGTTACATGCAACTGAAATATAACTGTTGCAGCTGGGAAACCAGGTATGTTATCTCGAAGGCAGGTCTTGGCAACATTCCAAGAAGGAGAACAACCTAGTATTCAACCAATCAAAACGCTACTAGTTGTCACATCCCCCATGAGATTGGAAGGTCAACATTTACACATGTTATTAAATATAAAAATACTATTTCGGCATATTATCTATATTTCATAATAATAAAAATAATAACGTAAGATTTGCTGAATTTTCTAAAAAAAAATTATTATTATTTGTTTGGTATTCTCAAGACTGTGTTATGCAAACTACACGAGGTAGTTGATTAACTGGCACGTGAACCATTACGTAACAACGCAGCACTTTTCTAATACCTTAGTCATTCTGTAATGCATGACTGGACGGCTTAATAAAATGTACAAGAGCTTTCAATATGAGATGGTCTAACTTTGATGGAAACGACAAAAAAATGAGTCGATTTCTTAACAAGCAAAAAAAATCTATAATGTTTCAGCTTTATCAAATCATATAACCAAGAAATTGTTTAAAAGGAGCAGATCTTTTTTATTAAAGTTGGATTTTCCTCAAAGCTAATCAAGGGCTATCTAATTTTGAAGTGATAGACTAGAGCGAAGGCAGTTAGTTAGCACCATCTATCGCCAACTCTTGGGCTAGTATTTACCAACTAATAATGAGTTTGACGTTACTTTGTAACCCCCCCCCCTCTCCTTCCCCATTGTTGAAACGGCAAGCATGTTCGGTGACGGGGTTCGATCCTGCGACCCGTAGACTGCAAATCGAGCGCCCTAACAAGCAGGTCATGCCATGTCATAGTTTAGTGTGTCAGTTTACACTGTGTTTAGTGATTAGTGTGTCGGTTTACACTGTGTTTAGTGATTAGTTAATTTTAGCGTGAATGTAAAACTGATTACAAAGTTTTATTGTCTAAGTCTAGATATAAAATGCATATGTATTTGTAATGGCTGGAGACAAAACCATGATGATGACAAAACCTTGTCGAAACGTTGTACATTTGCTGTTATGTTAAACTTATATTAAAGTTTTTCTTCATTACCCATTCAAGCCGTCTCCAGCCATTATTAGTCTCAAAGTGGGTTCCTCGTCATCGAATATGTATTTGTGTTTGGTTTCAAGCGCAAAATTACATAATGGGCTATCCGAGCTGTAGCTGTAGCATAAGTTGTATCACAAAGCAGATTGTGAATGTCTTGCTGTTATTTCATTTTTGAATCTCATCGACATATAATTTAAAAAATATACTGAAAGATGCTCTAATAATTTCATGATCTATCACAATTTGATTGTACATGCAGAAATTTGAAAAAAGAAAGTTTTATTTATTCTCACTCTAAAGTCTAAATACGTGTAGAAAACCAACGTATATTTGAGCTTTATATTTCAAATCCAACGTATATTTCAGCTTCATGTGGTAAATTCAATGTATATTTCAGCTTTATAAGTTAATTCCAACGTATATTTCAGCGTCATGTGTAAAATTCAACGTATATTTCAACTTCATGTTTAAACCCAACGTATATTTCAGCTTTATATTTTAAATCCAACGTATATTTGAGCTTCATGTGTTAAATATAGTGTATATTTCAGCTTGATGAGTTATATATATTTGTTTTACTGCTCTGACAAAAGTTATCGAACATGTTTCACTACTTTCCTTTACGATCAAACGTAACTAGAGGTTGAAAACAACTGAAAGGAGAAAATGAGAACAGAAGTTACATCAGACTGTGTAAATTAGTAAAAACTAAGAGCTAACGTTTAAAATCTCCTTTTATTAAAGACCAAAGTCGTCCAGGGGTTTATCTACTCAGCCTATCCTTAGTCTGAAGACCAAAGTCGTCCAGGGATTTATCTACTCAGCCTATCCTTAGTCTGAAGACCAAAGTCGTCCAGGGGTTTATCTATTCAGCCTATCCTTAGTCTGAAAACCAAAGTTGTCCAGGGGTTTATCTACTCAGCCTCCCCTTAGTCTGAAGACCAAAGTCGTCCAGGGGTTTATCTACTCAGCCTAACCTTAGTCTGAAATATATATCTTATGCCAAAGTTATAACATTTATACTGATTTATAAAATATTGCCAAAAATAAACATCATTACAAATACCATATTTAGTTAAGAAACAAAGGAGAGGTATAGCTATAATTATCAGCTGTTTATGCTGAGTATTGCACTTTACAAAGTATTTCACATGTATTCTGATTCAGCAAAGTAAGTTCCATAGCTAATTAGTCACGTTTAAGACTATTTATTGTTCATGGATTTCGTGAGTTGCAATTCGTGTTTTGTATATTAATTTTCACACGGTTTCACTCGCACATTGTTGATTGTTATAGTAGTCTAGTGGTATATATGTGACGCTTTTGTACCAAACAACAGAGCAAAATCAAACTCAAAATGAACAACGATTAATGCCAGAGTCTTTATAGTTTTCTCTAATAATAGATGTACATAAACATATAAATTTTGACTTTCCGATTAAGCGACTAAACCATGTATTCACGTGTAATAGTTCTAGCTGAAATCATTGACTTATTACTATGTGCTTATAATGTTTTCTCCATCATATTTTATTTTTTTATTTTTGTATTAGTACAACTGATAACTTCATAAAATTAATAATATTGTTGTAATGTGTTCTATCATTGACCAGGTTCTTTTTGATTATTTGGTAAAAATAACGTGAAATCTAGTCCTCATAATCATAAGAAATATACTTATTCATTCAATGAACTTTTCTACAGGCTATGTTCACTGATAGGCCTAACTTCATAAACATTTTAACAGAAATTCCGAAACTAATATACATATAACTTTAAAATTCACTTACTTGTAATAGTGCCCGGCATGGCCAGGTGGATAAGGCGCTCGACTCACAATCTGAGAGTCGCGGGTTCGAATCCGCATCCCACCAAACATGCTCGCCGTGGGGGCGTTATAATGTGACGGTCAATCCCACTATTCGTTGGTAAAAGAGTAGACCAAGAGTTGGCGGTGGGTGGTGATGACTAGCTGCCTTCCCTCTAGTCTTACACTGCTAAATTAAGGACGGCTAGCGCAGATAGCTCTCGTCTAGTTTTGCGCGAAATTCCAAAACAAACAAACAAACAATACTTGTAATATTTCCTGGCTAATCGATTAATAATAAACACGTTGACTGACTTGGTTCACTGTTTAGCTTATTAACTGAAATATTATCTAACTAACTGACACCGAACTGAATAACTTAATAACTGTATATTTCCATGAAACTGGTATTTACGTACAACTTTTATTTATAATAAGGAAGCTTTCAGATTCTACCGACGGCTTAACTTTAATGACATTTCTAGATGTTGCGTCATCATGACGTAATGACATGTTCCCTTTAAATAACAAACACCTAAATTTAAATATTAAAAATATAGCTCACAAAAATATATTGGCTTTCATATTTCATAAAAAGGCGAGATACAATCAGGTATAAAATGACATAATTAATACAAGTATAATATAGGTGAGTTAGTCCTGGTTCTTACTCTTTTTTTTTTACAGATTCAAGTGTCAAATCAAGTTTTATATAGAACAACCAAACCTATGAACTGAGAGGTTGATTATTAATTCCAATATACGCTCTATAAAATAAAACATTTAATAGATTTATGAAACATTAACTGCAGTTGCAACAAATTATATTACAGACCAAAGCAAAGAATGAGTATTTTAACTGAAAAATGTCTGTCAGAATAAACAACAACAAAATACAGTCCGATAACGTCTTTAAGGATGTTTTCACACCCAGAAGACAAACTTTCTACGAATGGTATGCAAATCATCATACAGCAGCGACTCTTTTAATTTTCACTCAGCTCAATCCTTTCATTAAAAGAGTCCATATAGTTTGTTTGTTTGTTTATTTGAAGTTAAGCACAAAGGTACACAAAGGGCTATCTGTGCTATGCCAACCACGGGTATCGAAACCCGGTTTCTAGCGTTGTAAGTCCGCAGACATACCGCTGTGCCACTGGGGGGCGAGTCCTTATAGTATTCACAGAAATCTAGATATTTGAGACTACCCTCAGAGGTGGGGGAGGTCTATCGGGTAGCTAGCCCCTGTTACAGTGTAAGTAAAAAAAAAAACAAGGAGTAACAAAGGGTGGTCAAAACAAAAGGAGGTTTAAAAGATATTGTTACGTCTCCGTTCATTAGTTAATTTTCCATAAATTCGTTCCGACGAAACTTTAGCGACACAAGTCCTTTCCTAAATAAAACTGGTTTATTCTTTCTGAATACAACTTTACGATACACTTAATTTCAACAGTCGCTCTATAACAAACGCTATAACTCTCAAAGAACGTCTCAGGTGCTCGTGCTCGACAATACTCAGTTCAAATGCTCATCACCTCTCCGTCGCTTCGTGGCCGGTCTTATATATACAAGCTACACAATATCTAGTAATCTCCCGACAATTCATGAAGGTTCGAGAAGGACGTGGCGTGATACTAGTCACGTGACCTCGCTGACGCAACAATATGTTAAAATACCAACTCGTGCATATGCATACTTTTCTGAATCATCCAATTTGTAAATTTGGAAACGTTTTATGGGAAAGCATTCCCCAGACCCCATCAAGTAGTCATTCACTTAAATAAAATCTTTGATTAACCCTGAAAAGTATTCACAAAATAAGCAAATTGTATATGGCAAACTGTTATGTCAAGTAACGCTTCAAAAAGCCTTAAGAAAGGCTAACACAAAAACAGGAAAAACTAACATAAGGTACAAGAACACTACACATTTCGTAAAAAATAATGTACATATAAAGGAAGTAAACTAAGTAATTTTCTTTTGAAATTTGTTCTGGAAATCTACCTATGTCTTAGACTTGAAGAAATTATAAGGTTTGTCGTAACAAGTTCATAATTTAAAAGAGTTGTTTAAACATTAGTTTAACAAGTAAAAGTTTGGAATGCTTTATTCTTTCATTGGAAGGGGGTTTCTGTGAGCCAGACT